CAATCGCAAAAATGACTGAAAATTGCAAAAATCGCAAAAATTCCTGAAAATTGCAAAAATCGCAAAAATGCCTGAAAATTGCAAAAATCGCAAATATGACTGAAAATTGCAAAAATCGCAAAAATTCATGAAAATTGCAAAAATCGCAAAAGTGCCTGAAAATTGCAAAAATCGCAAAAATTCCTGAAAATTGCAAAAATTGCAGAAATTGCAAAAATCGCAAAAATTCTTGAAAATTGCAAAAATCGCAAAAATTCCTGAAAATTGCAAAAATCGCAAAAATTCCTGAAAATTGCAAAAATCGCAAAATTTCCTGAAAATTGCAAAAATTCTTGAAAATTGCAAAAATCGCAAAAATTCCTGAAAATTGCAAAAATCGCAAAAATTCGTGAAAATTGCAAAAATCGCAAAAATTCCTGAAAATTGCAAAAATCGCAAAATTTCCTGAAAATTGCAAAAATCGCAAAAATTCCTGAAAATTGCAAAAATCGCAAAAATGCCTGAAAATTGCAAAAATCGCAAAAATTCCTGAAAATTGCAAAAATCGCAAAAATTCATGAAAATTGCAAAAATCGCAAAAATTCCTGAAAATTGCAAAAATCGCAAAAATTCCTGAAAATTGCAAAAATCGCAAAAATGCCTGAAAATTGCAAAAATCGCAAAAATTCCTGAAAATTGCAAAAAAAGCGAAAATCGCAAAAATGCCTGAAAATTGCATAAATCGCAAAAATGCCTGAAAATTGCGAAAATCGCAAAAATGCCTGAAAATTGCAAAAATCGCAAAAATGCTTGAAAATTGCATAAATCGCAAAAATGCCTGAAAATTGCAAAAATCGCAAAAATGCCTGAAAATTGCAAAAATCGCAAAAATGCCTGAAAATTGCGAAAATCGCAAAAATTATTGAAAATTGCAAAAATTGCGAAAATCGCAAAAATTCCTGAAAATTGCAAAAATTGCAAAAATCGCAAAAATGCCTGAAAATTGCAATTGCAAAATTGCGTATAAAACAAGAAGGAATAGATTCAATCAAACTATTTTTTCGTTTTATAGTTGTCCTTGACAAACTCCACATTTGGTGTCATTTAACCGACCTCGTATCTCTCACCGTTAAAAAGATACCCATAGTGAGCATGAAAAGTGGGACACACTGTATACTATTTTGTGTTGATTTTGTTTGAGCTAGCTACATTATCACTTAAAGTTTCATTCATCATGAACCAACGAGCTGCTGATTAATATTCCAATTTGTTCCATGATGGCAAAGTACCTTTCAGGCAGAATATCCTTTCCAAAGAAACTAACTGGGATGGCTGGATCCGAGCAACTAAATTCGACTTGTTTTTGGCGTGGCAGATACGACATCCGTATTTATCCAGCGATAAAATCACTTTTGCCATGTTCAGTTGATGAATTGCCAATTCTGGCGCCCTTGTACAGTTGGCATTATGCAAAGTTTAATGGAATATTCTATGACCGGATATTCAAATTAGCTACTGGATTCGGTTGGTTCACTGTGGGTGGTTGTGAAGTTTGATAATTATTTAATTAGTAGCTGTTACAGTTAACGTACTCGACGTGCTATGTACGTATATAGAGTTCGTTTGCTGAGTCTATTTCAGCGAATCGGTTCATATTTAGCTTCAAAATTTGGGCTATCCAGCTGTTTGTTCAATATTGTCGTCACATTCGCAACAAGCTATTGAAAATCACAAGAACTGATAAGAAGGGTATAGTGCGTCATAAAAAGTGTTTTAGAAAACCATCAAATATGTGAAAAATAGAAAATAGATACGCACCCAGAATGGTTCACAGTTTTCAGATTCAATATATTTCTCATATAATAGTATGATTGTACACTCTTTCCATATTCATATTTGAGGCATTTTTATTGAACTCGTAATTCAAAATCCAATTATTCTACAAAAAAAAAATAACAGTCTTCAGATATCAACATCATTAGAGTCAGATAAGGTCATCTATCGATCGATAGATTTGTTTGACAGAATAACTTGTCAATGATTTTCGAAATTTTTGAGGGCTCATTTTATTCTTCGCTATCAATTCATGAGCTGCGGTAAAGTGGGCTGTGCAAAAAATGCTGATATTCTGAATCAAGCTCAAGAAGTTTCAGAACCGTATTATGATCCTTTAAAAAATTCTTAAGAAAATTTCTTTTAGGTTTCTTCGATGACCAAAAGAAAAGTAATTCTCTGAAATACACTATTGTCAAATTTTATCGAATTCGTTTCACTAATTACCGAACAGCGTACAAAAATGTGTATTTTCATGTGAACTATGAACCCTTCTCACAGACAAACGGAACATTTTGCCACATGAATGATTTGGGTCCAATCAACTTATTTTGACCCCTCTACACGTGGTGGCTCTGTGTCCCAGCAATTTTGGGACACCCTGTATTCAATGGGGGCCCGAGGCACTAAAATGTTTTTTGGAAATCTTGTTCAAACCTGATATTTCTATATGTTTTCGAGAAAAACCCGTTCGGAGAATGCTAAATTCTCGGAAGGAGATTTGAAATATTGTTTGATTTATGCACGGCGTCCCGGCGTAAAGTAGCGCTTTACCGTCCGGTTTTGTGCACTGTTTACTGCACTGTCACTAACTTATTGTACTAGTTTTGGAAGCTAACTTGAGATTGAATTCGCACCAGAATATTACAGAATGAAGTGTTTTAGAAAGCTATCCCAAATGACTCGAGATAATTGCTGGTATATATCCCGCTATAAGGTCCTTCAAATGTCCCAATGTTTCAGACTCTGTTACGATATCCCAGTGATGTTTCTTCTGAGACATCCATCCGATATGTTTCCATTGGATTAACTAAAAACATCCCTTTTCATCTCTTTCTATGAAAAAATAATGTATATACCCAATAATGGCTTATATATGATGATTGACATGACTGAACAGTTCGAACAATTGTGGAATTTAGCTCAAAATTGTTCCCGTATACTCACACACTTATCTCATACCTCAGCTGGCTAATTCGATCGATAACAATTCGAAATATGTATACTGAATATTTACAATAAGAAATTACTATAGGAATAAGTATCTAATACTTATTAACTTGAACCATACAATGAACGACAAAATTGAGGCATATTTATTGCTGAATAGTGAATCTATTTGTTACCAGCCAATAGATGGCGGAACAACTTCGTCGCTACTAGTTGCTCACAGCAAATGCTGACACGAGTGTTGCAGCAACATCCCAAGAATGTCCCAAGGAAAATAGGGATTTTCCAGAGAAGTTATCCTATTATCCCATATGGATGTTTCTACGCCGTCTTACGGATGTGATTGTGTCATAAGGGATAGGCAACCAAAGCAACGTGCGTACATTCAAATTGAAATGCCAGTGATTTAAAATTTGTCTGTTCATCTGAGACCCCACGTGGGCGACGCCGGGTTGTGTTGCCTATGTCCCAATAACATTTATTATGACTCACCCTGTATAACTGTATATTATCTATTATACATACACAGAGGGTGTAGGTAATAAATCATGTTAGTGCCTTAGGGTCGGTGTTGTAAAACTGTAAAAACTTGTCTACCTATAATGAGAGAACAGTGAACGTGTTTTATTACGGGTAACATCTGTTCGTTTTTTATTCCTGCCCGTGTGAGATAATAAAATGAATGTGTAACACAATCACAGGAGAGGTAAATTACGTAAGGAAGAGCTAGAGGGAACTTCAGCAAATAAAATTTTTATGGGCGGTCCAAGTACCAAACGTAAAACAAGAATATAAATAACTCATATGTGTTGAAATTTCAATGTGTGTATATCCTTCCTGTCAAATATTCAATGATGGAAGGTCTATTTTCATATTTAACCAACGGCGCCATCTCTGTGTGAAAAGGTCAACAGATATATAAATATAATGAACAAATATCGGAGCTTCCTGTAATCTTCTATTACTCCTACAGCTCCTATAACCCCTAGGAACTCTGTATATTTTCACAGCCATATAAAATTCTTATATCTGAAGATAGTATGTTATTCTTCGAGCTGTTGAAGTCCTGCTACATAAAAGTGACTCACCATGTATATACGACGATTTTCCTAACCAATCCATGAATTCAATACAGACACCATCTTAGATTCGTTGAAATCTTTAAAGTTCTAACAGATCTTCATATAGAAAGGCATTCCAGAATGTTTATTATCAATCAGCAGCCATCAGTGCGTTGTATGGTACTGGCGTGATTCATTCTTCAGTCTTTACCCAATGGAAAACACCTGACGAGAATAGTGCGAGTACCGTGCAGTGTGCACTGTGCATGATGACAGAGTGACTGTGACACGACACAGTGACAGTGACGTACATGACAAGTGAGAGACTGACAGAGTCAGAGACGTCAGAGTGACGTTTGTATTGTATTGTGCTGTGCGATATATGACGTATGTCTACAGTATTATTATTTAAGCAAAATATTAAAATAACCAAATGTGAAATATAACTAAAATTTTGTGATAACAGATATTACGTAAAGGAAACAGGCATTGAATAAAGCAAGATAGGAAGAACGAAATCTCATAACCTCACATTCAAGTGTATGACCTCTTCCACCTTGAGCTAGCCAAAATGTAAGTTTTTAATCTTAACCTCAATATATCAGAATTTCAGCTTTTATGTAATTGTCCAAACCCCAATCCATTCTAGTACTAGTACCTGAACACCTGATTCAATAATCAATATGGCATCGATGAAATCGCTGAGATTATTAGGAAACATAAATAGAAGGGCATTTTCCACCTCAAAAACAGTAGCCACCAAGCAAATGACTGTGAGAGATGCCCTAAATTCTGCTATGGACGAAGAAATGGAAAGAGATGAACGAGTTTTCATTCTTGGTGAAGAGGTGGCACAGTATGATGGGGCCTACAAGGTGACCAGGGGTCTTTGGAAGAAATATGGAGACAAAAGGGTGATTGATACTCCTATCACAGAAATGGGATTTGCAGGTGATGTTTGATACTATTTGATAGGTGTCTTTGTGTAATTGCAATGTGAAAATGTATGAGGGATGTGAGTCATAAAGTGTTGCTTAAAAATGGAGTAAACTAGATAATCCTACAGAGTATCTTCAAAATATATAACTTGGGAGACCCAGTTGAAGACATAATAGACACCAAGGCTCAGAGTAAGGGAATTTTTATGATTCACTAATCACTGAATTACCCAATTACTGATTATTCTGTTATATGAGGTGAATATTTGAACAGGGAATCATTCTTATGACCCATCTTTGAGTTGAAAGAACTGGTTTTAAAATCCTACAAGAATCAAGAACTATGTATTTGTACAGAGTGATTGTTTTCTATTCCACACTAATATCTTTCATACAAAATACAGAATATCAATATTATTCTGTGAAAAGCTGCAGGTTTACCAGGAATTAGTTATACACAAGATTTTTATAGTTACCCTAGAGCTCCATCATGTAAGTATGATTCACATTTTTAACCAATCCAAAATAATTTCACTCATTATATTTGCCTATATTGAAAAGTTTTTCAGATATCTTATTAATATTGTTGATATGTACATTATCATGCTGCCCTGTATGAATTTTCTCACAAGGGTTAATTTTTTTCATTTTTACACCTTACTGATGAGAACACTGAAATTATTCTGATAGTGGAAGCACAGATTCTTAGTTAAAATTTCTGATGTTTGATACTATTTGATAGAGTTGTGTAGGTGGAATTACAGTCTGAAAATGTATGAGGGATGTGAGTCATAAAGTGTTGCTTAAAAATGAAGAAAACTAGATAATCCTAGAGTATCTTCAAAATATATAACTTGGGAGACCCAGTTGAAGACATAATAGACACCAAGGCTCAGAGTAAGGGAATTTTTATGACTTACTAATCACTGAATTACCCAATTTTATTACTGATTATTCTGTTATATGAGGTGAATATTTCATAAAGTATTGCCTAAAAATGTAGAAAACTAGATAATCCTACCTGTTATGGAATCTTGACTATTCAGACAGTAAGGGAATTTCTATGATTCACTATTCACTGAATTCTGTATTCAGGTATTCCAAAAATTAGTTATACACAAGATTTTTAATGTTATAGTTACCCTAGAGCTAAATCACATTTTTAACACATCCAAAATAATTCTACTCATTATATTATTATGTGTCTATATTGAAAAGTTTTTCAGGTATCTTATTTATCATGATTCCAGATTTTTTAGGATTTTCTCTTATTGTTTCAATAAAATAAAGATTTATAAATGAGTGAGAATTTGATATTTTTCTGTATACCTTTAATTCTCTTTTCTAAACCTTTTTCAATACAAATTATCACTGACAAGCTAGTGAATTTTTGTTTTAGGCTCTAAATTCTTTGAACAAAGTGACATTTTGGGGCAAATCATCTGATTTTTCTTACTACACCTATATTGAAATAATAATATTTTATAGAAACAATTAGAGAAAATCCCAAGAAATCTGACAGTATCTTATTAATATTGTTGTGATGTACATTATCATTCTGTCCTGTATGAATTTTCTCACAAGGATTTTTCATTTCATTTTTACACCTCACTGATGAGGAACCCCAGAACACTGAAAATATTCTTATAGTGGGAGCACAAAATGGTGGAAATTTCTGCGAATTTTTGATTTTTCAAATTTGATTTACACACAGGTAAAACTCAAAAATGTTGAATTCCACTGGGAATTTTAGGGCATACCAGGTACCCAAACAAAAAAGTACCTAATCCAAAAGATTTTTTACTTTTATAAGTTACCTACCCATAGAGCTCCACCTTGTATAAGTAGATTCACATTTCTAACCAATCAAAATTGATGAAATTTCAAAAGTGGAAACATAAATAGTTTGAATTTCAGGAACCTTGATTTTTGAAAAATGATTTGACATGGGGCACAAAAATATTGACCTCAACTGAGACCTCAACAAAATTTTAAAAGCTTCAATACAGTGCAAGCCCAAAAAAATTCAATCTCATGGTTATATTTTTTAAACTGTTCTGATACAGAGAAAGCAAAAAAGTGTGAATTTCAAAAAGTCTGATCTGTTTGAAGTCTGGAATACAAACAGTTTGGAAGAAAATTTGTTTTGACACATGAATAGCACCAACATTTTGAACTCAACTGGGACTTTGATAACATTTCCAATGTTCTGATGCAGGACAAGCTCAAATAATTAGAATTTCATCATCACATATTATTTTAAACTGTTCTGATACAGGGAGAGCAAAAAAATTTATGTTTTATTTCATTCTTCCTGACACATTGGAACCACACAAAATTATTTATAAAAATTCATTTGGATGTTTGAATTCCATGAATCAATTATATCACTAGTTCATGGATGAAAATTCCAAATTCATTGATACAGGGGGAGCATAGATGTTGAATTATTCTGATTCAAGGAGAGCAAAAAAAGTTTGAATCTCATAAAATCTAAATCTCAAATTTGAGAAGCACGAATAGTAGGAGTTCAGTATTTATAGCATCTAGAAAAATATACCCATTATAAATTTGAAATTAATGGAATTTCAAACATTGGAATCCCATGGAATTCCACTGGAATTCCACGAAATACCACTGGAATCCCACATGCCTGTACACTATAATTCCAAGGTGGTTTACCTCTTGTGAAAATCTAATATTACAGGGGGAGCAGAAACAGTTTGAAATTGAAAAATGCCGATTTATTTTCAATCATTCTGATACATTGGGGTCTCAATCAGTTTGAATAACATGAAATCATTCAGATAATAGGGGATCAAGAAAGTCAGATTTTCATAAAATCTCAGATATCAGAAGCAAAAATACTTGAATTCAGTGAAGTACTTGGTAATTTTGCACTTTTCATGGGATGGTTTTTTTTTCGAAATTTTATTTTGGTACTTACGTATTTTTGTCTGAAAAACACGAATTTGATAATGAAAATGTGAACAAACCATTATTCATTGAGATATTTCACTATAAAGTTACAAATTTCACCTTCTTTTCCGCCTGTCTTCTGGATTGAATTTAAAACAATTTACCCTCCTTTTTTCATCATTGGACAATTTATACAGGGTGGCCCACGGTCGATGGTACCTTAGACGTATAAGGAAAACGGTACATTGGATTATCCTGAAAATTTGGTTACTCTAATAAGCATTTGTGATCTAACGATTCAAATGTTTTCAGCGAAGCAGCGTTGCCACTTTTACCAAAAAGTAGCATCATCTTTGTTATTTCAAATAGAACACCCTGTATTTCATTGCGTATTTAGATTCTTCTCGAAGAGCTGATTCCATCAATGCATCACACTTGGGGTCTAGCAGGAATTATTACAGAGATATAGGGTGTTCAAAATCGAGATTTTTCAACTTTAGGACTTTTTTGTATCGAAACCATTCATCATTGGTCAAAACGGCTTACATGTCCCTATATTAATTTTTTATTAACTATCTACCGACATTTAATTGGAAAAAATACAGGATGGTCCAAGATTTAGAATTTTGATCACCCTGTATCTGTTCCAATTAAATGTCAGTAGATAGTGAATCAAAAGTTAAGATAGGGACATGTAAGCCGTTTTGATCGATAATGAATAGTTTCGACACAAAAAATTCCTGAAATTGAAAAATCTCGATTTTGAACACCCTATATCTCTGCAATAATTCCTGCTAGACCCCAAGTGTGAGACATTCTTCTTCTTCGAGAAGAATCTAAAAACGCAATGAAATACAGGGTGTTCCATTTGAAATAACAAAGATGATGCTACTTTTTGGTAAAAGTGGCAACGCTGCATCGCTGAAAATATTTTGAATCGTTTGATCACAAACGCTTATTAGAGTAACCAAATTTTCAGGATAATCCAATGTACCGTTTTCCGTATACGTCTAATGTACCATCGACCGTGGGCCACCCTGTATATATCACAATGTAACACACATTTTTTTTTATTATTGAGTCAACTTTAAATATGATTTTCTTGTGATTTATCCATATTTAGTGAAAAGAAGGAAGAATATCATTTAAAATAATGGCGTGTGTAATGTCATTCTAAAGCACTGTGATGACATTTGACATCTCGTATTTGGATTGACTATTAATTAAACGGCCGTCATCTGGTATGCTTGTTCACTAAATATGAAAAACTCGCCATAAAAATCATATTTCCTGTTGAATTTTCTGTATAAAAATGTGTCATTGAAGTACATCATGAGTATATAAAGTGTCCAATGACAAAATACGAAGAGCAAGTACCTGTAAATGCATCCAACACAAGGGGAAGGAGTCGAAATTTCGAACTTTTTTTTGAAATATCTCGATAAATAGTTGTTTGTTCACATTATCATTGTCGAATTCGTGTTTTTCAGACAAAAAACGTAAGTACCAAAAAAAAATTCGAAAAAAAACCCATCGCATGCTAAATGCAGTTTTACCGAATTCAGTAAAGTACTTTACCTAGTATTATGAAGAATATCTCCACAATAAATTTGAATACAATAATTAAATCACTTACTGTGGTATCTCTTTATACACTATAAGGGATTCACAATGTTATTGGTATATTTCACTTTGTAATAAAACACTTGAATGCAATTAACTTCACTCGGCCGTCACCCTATCGCTGTCTAACGCTTACTGTCCTCCAGTCCACGTTACTCAGCGCTCAGGTGATTTCAGTTGATAGTCGTTTATTGTGTAATCAAGGGTGATACATCAACTCATACACTACACTTACACTTACAGGAAACGGTCGAATTCAATAGGAGCTTTTAATATATTAAGAATTCAATCAGTTCCTTGTGAAAATAGTTATTTATTATACAAGGGAAAATAGTAGTAGATTAATTTTTTCCCGTGTATACACTATTTTTTCTGTGACAGAAGAAAGGACGAATCAATATTGAGAAGATATATTATTTTGAAATCTTAGAATTATCGACGTGAAATTTTAAGTTTTTAACAGTAGGGACA